TTTTTTTTTTTTTTGTTTTTTGAAAATCATATTTGGAGCTGACTTTTAACAGTGACCTAATAAACGCATAAAGGTAAGACAAAGAATATTGTAAAGGTTTTCATGAACTGGAATAGGAAATATTTTATAAAATGTGTCCCATAAAATATATAGATATATATAAGTATCCATGACCATTTTTTAAAATTCTGAAGCTTGCATTTTTAGCTTTATTATTTACCTCTTATTTTATGTTTTTTAAAAGCCCCGGGCAGCATTATAGTCCTGCATACAGTTCTGGAGCCCTGTAAACACAACTCGCTTCGGTTTGCTCCTGTCTATTTATACTTTCCTCAATTAACTTCATGTTACCGGGAAGGGAACAGGCACTAACTACAGAAATACATCTGGAATTGAGTGGTAACGGGGAGTCAAAGGAAAAACCACGTTGGTGGTGATTTCATGGTCTTTACTATGTCAGGCTACAAATTTACGGACCAGTGTTGATTTTCAGGGTGACGCTAAATACAGGGGACAAAAAGGTGCCATCCTGCGAATCTTTACATATCCACGTGATGATGGACAAACAAAAACCATTATGCTTCCCTGCATCCTTCCACCCCCGAGAGACTCACACATCAGATGATTTACTGTTCACTAAAAGTACAGCACGTTGATCACTCGGTTCTTGTAAGCAGAGATCCTTCAAAGGCAAAAGTTTGGTGCCAGGATTTATCTGTAGATAATTTAAGAACTGATCACTCTGGGAGAATTTGTTGTCTGTCAGAGCAACTAATTACTAAAGAGATCACTAAAAATATTGCGAGCATATCTAAAAATAGGCTAGACAAAGTCCTATATTAGCAATTTCACCAGCCTGGTGAGGCGGGTTAGACCACACCATTTTCTGAGGTCTTTTTCCAATCATACTATAATTAGATCCCTCTCTCATCCAAGACACTTTTTAGGATCGTTTAAAGATCAGACAGATCATGGGGCGCCGTGGTGGTTCAGTTGGTTAAGTGTCCGACCTTGGCCCACATCATGATCTCATGGTTCGGGGGTTTGAGCCCCGCATCGAGCTCTGTGCTGATGGCTCAGAGCCTGGAGCCTGCTTCCGATTCTGTGTCTCCCTCTCTCTCTGCCTCTCCCCCATCATGCTCTGTCTCTCTCTCTCTCTCTCTCTCTTTCTCTCAGAAAGCAAACAAAAACAGATATATATCAGACAGATCATGTCATTTTTCTGCCCAGAACTCTGTCTGCCAAGTTTTCCCACTTCATTCAAAGTAAAAGCCAAAATCCTTCCAATGGTCTACAAGACTTAACATGATCTGGTCTCTCTGTATCTCTCTGATTTAGTCCTCACTATTGTGCTCCTTGGTTCATTCAGCTCTATACTGACCTTGCTGTTTCTCAAATCTGCTAAGCATGTTTACATCTTATGGCTTCTGTGCAAGCTGTTTCTTCTGCCTGGAAAGCTCTTCCCCGAGCCATCTCCATGGCTCAATCCCTCACCTTGTAGTTTTTGCTCAAGTATGACCCTCCCTGTGAGGCCTACCTGATCACGATTTCTAAAATTATGAACATCAACCCCAGCAACCCCCAGCACTATAGAGCCCCCTTATCTCGCCTCTGATCTATTTTTGCCCCCAATGCTCTGATCATTTTGATCGTGTGATATAATTTATTTATTTGTTATGTTTCCTATTTATTGACTCTTTCCTCTCACCGGTGCCACGGAAGTAGAGATATGTCTCTTTTATTCACTGACTATTCCAACCTACAATATTAGAAACTTAATATTTACTGAATGAATGAATCAGAGAATTCTCCTTTATTTTTAAAATAAATTTTTTTGAATGTTTATTTATTTTTCAGAGAGAGAGAGAGAGAGAGAGAGAGACAGAGCATGAGCGGAGGAGGGACAGAGGGAGAGGGAGACACAGAATCTGAAACAGGCTCCAGTCTCCGAGCTGTCAGCACAGAGCCCGACACGGGGCTCGAACTCGTGAACCGCGAGATCATGATCTGAGCCGAAGTCGGACGCTCAACCAACTGAGCCACCCAGGCGCCCCAGAGAATTCTCCTTTATAAAAAATATTGTTTCGTTAAATTTTTTTTAAAACTCGTGAGCAAATACATCTTGTCACAGTTTTCTCTGATCCATGGCAACATTTTCCTGGTAAGTGTTCTCTGTTGGTTTTTTTGCCCATTTCCTCATTTTTCTCAAAGCATCTTTGTACGAATAATGTGCTAGGGGAAGTCAGAAGGAGGGTCAAGAGTCCGGTGTTAGGCTAGCCATTTTCGTTATTCGAAATGCCTCCATGGGCACCTGCCTGGCTCAGCCGGTAAAGCACGTGACCCTTTACCTCAGGAGCAGGAGTTCGAGCCCCACATTGTAAAGATTACTTTAAAAATAGGGGTGCCTGGGTGGCTTAGTTGGTTGAGTGTCCAGCTCTTGGTTTCAGCTCAGGTCATGATCCCATGGTTTGTGAGTTCAAGCCCCATATCGGGCTCTGGGAAGGCAGCGTGGAGGCTGCTTGGGATTCTCTCTCTCCCCTCTCTCTCTGCCCTTACCCCACTTGTGTTGTCTCTCAAAATAAATAAACTTAAAATAATTAAAAATTAAATGAAATAATAAAAATAAATAAAATAAAATAAAAAATAAAATAAAATACG